GAGAAGAGAGTGAAAAAGTGATTTGAAAAGTCAAAACTCAGAACTTAAACCCAGTCTCCCCGCTCGAGCGTCAGACACCCCGCTTGAGCGTCACTCACAGACTCCCGCTGGAGCGTCAACCATCCCGCTCGAGCGGCGGATACACACTCCCAGAACTTTTACAGAACCACGTCTTCGCTCGAGCGTCAAATCTCCCGCTCGAGCGTCACACACAGAACCAACTCCTCGCTCGAGCGAAGGTCCAAAAATCTAGGCAGCAACACTAGGCTCCCGAACACAACCAACCTATAACAAACCTGCCCAACACATCCCATAACTCAATATACAAAGTAAAAAGGATGCAAACAAGATAATAAACAACTACCAACATCCACGGACACATGTCCGGATCACTGTACAACAAGGGTAATCCCGGGATCGCTATACTACTCTAGCTCAGGCTATGTTTTGGTTCAAATTTATGGCTGCCTTATTGGTTTTCCCGGTGTTGTGAGGTTATGTTTTGCACCGATGGTGTGCTGGTTTGGATTCAGTGCTCGGTCCTAAATTAGGTTGACTCCATCAATACTATTCCCTCACTTCTCTCTCTCTCTCTCTCTCTCTCTCTCTGTGTCTTTTTCTCTCTCATGTGTACAAATATGTATATATATATATATATATCATTGAGTTAAATGGGAGTGAGTTAACTCACTTTGAGTTAGATGGATTAATCATTGAGTTAATTGAGAGTGAAAGTAAAATTGACTTTTTTGCCCTTAAAAACTCTGCACATGTTATCCACGTGCAAATTTTTCGTTCAATTTCTTAACTTCCGTTTTTAATTGGACCAAAATGATACAAAATTCCAAATTTAAGATCAAAATCGATCAAATGAAATTGAACGAACCAAAATGACACATCGTGTAAACTATAAGAATTATTTGTATAATTTGCCCCCAAAAAAAAACAAGGCCTTAGTATGGCAAGTCTTACTACTATTTATTGAATAATATGAGTGCTACGCATTAATTTTAATGAATCAATGGTGAAAAACAAAGTGGTGAAATAAATTTTGTGATGAACAAGTGTTTTTCTTTTTAAATTTGAAAGAATAATTTTCTATATACTAATTAATTGATGATGTGGCATATGTTACCTAAAAGACAATCTAAGAATGGGATGAATTAGGCTTTTACAATTAAAAATTAATAATACCCTAATAAAAATTATGACTAACACAATAAATAAATATAGTTAATGAAATAAAAATAATTAAAACAAGTGTTCTAATAACTATGTCAGTTAATGATTTTAGCACAATGAAAATGTAAAATACAGCTACAGCAATTTAAATAAAATAAAGAGATAAGGGAGAGAGAGGCAAACAAATTTATAGTGATTCGGCTTCAACTCGGCCTACGTTCACTCCTCAAGCTTCACTTGAGATTTTTCACTATACTCTAACTTCACGGGGTGCTAGCAACTTCTTTACAAATGGAGTAATCCTCCACGAATTTTACACAAACTTTCTAAGTCAAGAACACTGAGTGTACTACACTCTTACAAGGTTGAAAAGAATGTGTTTTTACTTTCACAGAAAGTTACAAGAATTATCTCTCAAAAATAGATATAAAAATGAAATTCTGATTTTTTTGTAAACCTCACAGTGTATAATTTCTGAAAGAGGATGTAAACAAAAATTGAAGAACACTTCTCAGAGAATTTTGCTGAGAATAGATGTGAGTGGTTATAGATCAAAAAATATTTTCAGGTTTTTTGTAACTTGTTTACATTAAAGGCTTTGGTATATATAATGAAACTTACAGCCGTTTATAGACGTTTATAGCATTTGTATTCATTTGAATTTATAGCCGTTTATAGCCGTTGTACTTCCATCATTACCAATTTGAATATCTTCCACTTGAACTTTTTGAACCTTTTGAACTGTTGTTGTGCTAAGTCGTTTGAACCTCTGTTTTGGGCTGTTTGAACTCCTAATTTAATCAAATATTAAATATATTCTAACAACATTTAGGATAAAGGTTTAGGTGAGAAATAATGGGACTAAATAAATTTTGATTCTATTTTTCTTTTTCAAATAAATTAAAATATAATTAAATAAATCATCAAAATAAATTTTGGATTCTATTTTTCTATTTCAAATAAATTAAAACATAATTAAATAAATCATCAAAATAAATAAGTCTAACAGCATAATTTAAGAGATTTTTGATATTAGTAATTTGTATAATGAGTGGGGGTTAATAATAATATCATAATTAATATTGGTATACTAGTTAGTACATTAATTGGTGCATATAGATTGAAGTGATTTTTTTAGTCAATCAGTAGAACATTAATTATAAATATAAAAAAAATTATATTTGCGTAATTATAATATAACAATGTATAGTTAGAAAACCAACCACAACTAAGCCCACCATTATGAGAAAAAATTCAAATTTATGAAAGAAGGAAACAATTACAGTATATGCAAATCCATAATGGAAAAAAATAATAAATTTTTGTTTTAACAATAGACTCTTTAATCTCTAGAAGAATATAAGAGTAGCTAGTTGGCTTGTTGAGCTAGCTCAACTTTATTTGTTTTTAGTTTGAAAAATATATATATATTTTTTAAATTAATTTACTGAGGTGGCATGTATAGATGGGGTGATGTGAGTAAACAAATTTAGGTGAACATACTTATTAAATTTTATTCATATGTAAAATTTTACTATAATTATGTGACAATATTATGTATAAAAATTGATAATTGAAAGGTTCATATGAAACAAAATAATTATGTAAATATAAATTTTTGGTCTGTATATTTCACCTTTACCTAGGATTTGTTAAACATACTTCGGAGTTGAACACAATGGTTGTTAGTAATTGTGTCACTAAATATTGATCAATAGCCACAAATAATGGAACACAATAACCCAAAACTTGAATTTCTAATAGTTAAAAGTAGCTTCATTTGTTTATTGATTGACGATAATGTTACATCATTACAACCCAATTAATAAAGGCAAAAAAAAGAAAGGATAGTGTAGAGAAATTATATGTATAGTAGAAAAGAATAGTTTTAGTAGTAATAATCACTCATAAAAAAAATATAAAAATAAAAAGTGATTAAATTCAACTATAGTATGGTGAATTTCGATCACACACTAAATTTTATGAATATTTTTCTATGCATACAGATTATGTCTCTAAGAGCTTTATCCTTATCTTGGTTAAGTCCCCTTTGCCTTAGGATTCTCGTCCCTTATCTCGGGCTCTGACATCTTCGGAGATGACCTCGGCTTCTCCGATATTACCTCGGCTTAACTACCAGGGCACGTGGCACCTCGGCTGACACGTCGGCGTCACCATGCCACGTGTTGGTATTCAGAAAATATGTCCCCACAACTGCCCCCTAGGTTCCATTACCTCGACATTCTGAGGTGATGGAATCTATTTCGTAATTTTGTCACTTCTTTTCTGGGCAATGGCTCAAAAAAACTGTTTTGCCAAGATTATCTTCTTTCAGCCGACGTGTTCTCTTCGGGGAACGAGGCTTCGGTCGTACTCCCCTACGCGCATGAGCTGTCATGCATATCTAACTGTTTCTTTTACGTGTTTCATCTTTATTGGAGAGTGTCGGTGACGCGCCTGAAGCTGTCTGTTCATTTCGTCTGCGCCGCCTGACGCGTGCGTTACCCTAGGCGTAATGATTACCCTGATTTTTTGCCGCCGTTTCACATTTTTGACAAAACTTTTCTTTTGCCTCTATCTTTTCTTCACTTTTTCATTCCGTCTTCTTGCTCTTTCTCTCTCTGAAAGCTCATTCCTCTTCGAATCTGCCATCGCCTTAATCTCTCTTCTGGATTTGCTTTTAACCCCTCATTCTTGCAAAGCCTTCTTTGCTGTTGCAACCGGTTTCTGGGTTCGGCGAACATTGCCTCGGCTTCCTTTGTCCTGGTAAGATCCTTTCCTTTAATTCTTCCATTCTTTTTAGGTGCTTTTGTCTGTCTGTCGCCATTACTGATCTTTGCTCGAAGTCTTGATTTTATTTGTATCTTGAATTTGTGGCTATGCCTAGAACTTTTATGATTTTTCATCATTCTCTTTGCCGCTGTTCTTGATTTGTTTCTGTATCTCTATTGTTTCTGAGAACTATACCTCTGTTCTTGAATCTGAAACTTCGTCTTTGTTTTCTTCTTTTTTGTATCTGTCCCAGATCTGTGCCCTCGATCTTTATCTTCATAGTTCATAGATTTGGGATTTGTCTGTAGAACCCTTAATCTTTAGGGAAACCTGAAAAACGCCCACCTTCTGAAACAGATTCCCTTTAGTTTAAACCAACATAATGGGTATGTGGAGGCATAGGGTAAATACCCCGACAAAACTTGAATACTTTAGGCAAGAATTCTCTATCCCAGCCGACGTTCATCTTAAATTGGCTGGGGATAATGATAACATCGTGCCCACAGATCATACAATGCCTTTTCCAATAGTTGCTTTTACCGAATGTGGACTTCGGCTTCCACTTGATCCCCTTTTTCGTCAAGTTCTCCATTTCTATAAGCTGAACCCTATGCAACTTACTATCAATTCCTATAGAGTAATTAACGGTATTATTGCCTTAGCTAGGCAAGAAAACCTTAGAATCACCCTAGCCGACCTTCAATATTGTTATACCATGTGCCCTCTCGATCTGAAGGATAGGGGTTTTGTCTATTACCTTAAGCCGAGATCCACTCAGTACAAGATTATAGCCGACCTTCCAGACTCCAACAAGGGGGCTGGAGATGACTTTCTTATTGCCTCTGGAAATTGGAAATTTGGCCCAGATGAAGATGTCCACCTCTACGACTAAAGTGAGAGAGATAGGAGAAATTGATTTCATCTAGGCATTTAGCTTGGAGACTTGAAGATATTGAAGGTTAATTGCATAATTAAGCCTCTAGACTTGAAATTGAGGAACCTAGGTAAGGATTTCACGCCGACGAAAGCTTGTAAAAACAGCCGAAATGGTTCGTCCAAGGCCTGTCGTCCAATATCTTCTCGCCGACCTTCCAACTGACGCCGAAGCCGCACCAACGCAATCAATGCTTCCACCCAAACCGAAGAAGGTAAAAAAAGCTCAGCCTAAGGCCAAGGCTACAGATGCCGAGGCTGAGGATGCTCTGCCGATTTCGAAGCTAGCTGAAAGCAAAAAATCAGCCTCTACTTCAACCAAAAGGTCTGCTGAGGGCCAACCCTCAGGGTCTACACAAACAAAGAGGCCAAGGTCATCGTCTGCGACGACCTCGGCTTCGAAGAAGCCCGACGTCCCCTGGGCCCCTGATCTATCCCTGGAGGATAGGCCCATCATGGCTAGTGAAAGTGCTGACGACATTAATGTTGCTGTCGCCCTTAGCACTGCTCTTCTTCTACCAAATGACTTGGAGCGAAATAGCAAGCTTAGTGAGTATGAAAATTATGCTCTTATGCTCCAACATTCTGCTCAAGTAAGTATTTCTGTTTGTACTTGTGATTTTTTTCTTATGTTCTTCACTGAGAGTATTGTCTCACATTTCTGTTTTTCTGCAGGCCATTCAACATGCCCACTCATTTGCCATGCAATCCTTTGAAAATCGTCAAAGGTTGGTTGATATGAAAAGGGAAGCATCTTCTATGAAGAGAGAGATCAAGTCTCTTGAAGCAAAAATGAAAAAGTTGGAGGATCAAGCCGAGGCTGCAACCAAAGTTCAAACTTTAGCTCTTGAGAAAGCCGAAGCTGCTGAGGCCATTAGAAAAGTTGCCGAGGCCGAGAAAAGAGAGGCCGAGGTTCAGAAGGCCCAAGCGGAGAAAGAACTTTAGCAAGCTCTGGCTACAAAAGAGGCCGAAATCAAAGAGGCCGACGAAAAGGCCTATGCTCAAGGTATGGCTGACGTCGCAGAAGACTACAAGCTTCAAGTCAGGCAGGCATGCAACAGGGGACAAAAGAGGCCGAAATCAAAGAGGCCGACGAAAAGGCCTATGCTCAAGGTATGGCCGACGTCGCAGAAGACTACAAGCTTCAAGTCAGGCAGGCATGCAACAAGGGATTCTCCCTTGGTTGGATGTCCTTGATAAAGAAGCTTGACCTTCCTGCCGACTCGCCATTGCGTCAGGCCGACGCTATTCCGTTACCGTTTCCTCCTCCTCCTCCTGAAGGTGAATCAGAGTCTGAGGCTGAGGCCGTTGATGAAGATGAAGAAAAAGATGATTGTGACGCCTTGGTGAGAAGACCCAAGAATGCTGCCGAAGCCAAGTCCCCTCCTCCTGCTGAGCAGGTTATGGACTTGACTTTGGATGAGGAGGGTGATGGGGCTGAGGGGGCACCCAAGGAGACTGCCACTGGGCAACTATCATCCAATCTTCTGTTGGTAGAAAGAAGTGTTGAGTCAACAATCGCTGAGATTGATGCCGAGATAGAGGCGGAGAAAGTGGCCGAGGAGGTACCACCAGAGTCATCTGAGGTCCCAGTCCCTGTAGTGGCTGATGCTGAAGAATCTTGAAAAAATTGTCCTTTGTACTTTTTTTTTTCTTCTTTTTTTTTCTATTTTTTTGCGCTTTGTACTTTTTTACGTTCTGGGTAATGCAAAACTCTTTCTTTTGGCCGACGTGGTTTCTTCTATATATAACTGCAACAGTTCTTCTTCTGGATGTTCCAATCTTGTGATATTCTGTCGACTATTTCTGCATAGTCTTGTACTTATGAAATTTTTGCATATTTCCTCATGTTGCTTCCCTTGTGCAATCTCCTCGGGGTTTCATACCTCGGGTATAACCATAAAACTTTGACTTCGGCAAGATACTATCCTGCAAACTTTTCATAGATTTCAACAAGTATAGAACATATAGAATGTAAACTTTGCAAGCTTCTTCTCAATTAAGTATTAAACGATAGTCTTAGCCTGTCCCACTTGTAAATTGCTACAAATTTTAACAAGTAATGAACAATATACTTAGCCTGTAACTTTCTGTATACTTCGGCGGTTGATCATATGTCGGCTTAACTTCAACTTGTAAATTGCTACAAATTTCAACAAGTGAAGAGAACTAGTAATCTCGGCTTAACTTCAACTTGTAAATTGCTACAAATCTCAACAAGTGAATTAAGGAATAATCTCGGCTTAACTTCAACTTGTAAATTGCTACAAATCTCAACAAGTGAATTAAGGAATAATCTCGGCTTAACTCCAACTTGTAAATTGCTACAAATTTCAACAAGTGAAGATAAGGAATCAGCTTAATTCCAACTTGTAAATTGCTACAAATTTCAACAAGGGAAGATAAGGAATCAGCTTAATTCCAACTTGTAAATTGCTACAAATTTCAACAAGGGAAGATAAGGAATCAGCTTAATTCCAACTTGTAAATTGCTACAAATTTCAACAAGGGAAGATAAGGAATCAGCTTAATTCCAACTTGTAAATTGCTACAAATTTCAACAAGGGAAGATAAGGAATCAGCTTAATTCCAACTTGTAAATTGCTACAAATTTCAACAAGGGAAGATAAGGAATCAGCTTAATTCCAACTTGTAAATTGCTACAAATTTCAACAAGGGAAGATAAGGAATCAGCTTAATTCCAACTTGTAAATTGCTACAAATTTCAACAAGGGAAGATAAGGAATCAGCTTAATTCCAACTTGTAAATTGCTACAAATTTCAACAAGGGAAGATAAGGAATCAGCTTAATTCCAACTTGTAAATTGCTACAAATTTCAACAAGGGAAGATAAGGAATCAGCTTAATTCCAACTTGTAAATTGCTACAAATTTCAACAAGGGAAGATAAGGAATCAGCTTAATTCCAACTTGTAAATTGCTACAAATTTCAACAAGGGAAGATAAGGAATCAGCTTAATTCCAACTTGTAAATTGCTACAAATTTCAACAAGGGAAGATAAGGAATCAGCTTAATTCCAACTTGTAAATTGCTACAAATTTCAACAAGGGAAGATAAGGAATCAGCTTAATTCCAACTTGTAAATTGCTACAAATTTCAACAAGGGAAGATAAGGAATCAGCTTAATTCCAACTTGTAAATTGCTACAAATTTCAACAAGGGAAGATAAGGAATCAGCTTAATTCCAACTTGTAAATTGCTACAAATTTCAACAAGGGAAGATAAGGAATCAGCTTAATTCCAACTTGTAAATTGCTACAAATTTCAACAAGTAATGAACAATATACTTAGCCTTTATATCAACCTGTAAATTTCTGTATACCTCAGCGGGTGATCATACG